AATCTGTTACACATCTACAACCGCCAAACACCTATGCTAAATAGTTTCTTAATCTTTTCCTGAGTTTAGAAATACTATGTTCTTAGCTTTTTTTGGAAAGTTATAGGGCAATAAGTACGAGTAGCACTTTGCTATTTCCAAACCATTTGTTTCAAAATTAACGCAAGTGTTACATTGTAATACTACTATCTGTCAGGAATCCCTGAATAACCCTTAAGGAATCCCTGAATAACCCTATTGTGATGAAATGTAATGAAAGTAACCTCGTCACTGGCTTTTGGAAGGGCTTGTTTTCCAGCCTCCTACCCTGTGATAATGGCCCTGTGACGAACTGAACCTCGTCACGGGTTCTTGGAGGGACCTGCTGGCCAGCCTCTTGCCTCAGGAGTATGGGCCCTGCATTATACCTTGCTCAATGCACTTTAAAAGGTTCTGATCATGTGAAGTATGTACTTTTGTACTCCAGACAGAGAGACCGACTGTTAGCCCTAATTCTCTGGAACTCTGGTTTTATGGATTTTTAGTGTACTTTTAGGGTGTTTTTTAAAAAAAAGTGTGTTTTTTATGTGCTTGGAAATATTTGGATTAGAATTAGTACAGTAACTGATCCAATTATCTCCCAAGCAGAGGGGAGGGATTTTATGCAATGTGTGGGAGAGTCGTGCATTTTAACTCTGTTGTTATTGGTTTACAAGTTTGTGTCACAGTCCCCAACAAGGTCCATGTGGGTGTCACCCTTGCATGGGGACTTGCATAAAAGGCCAATGCGGCTACCATTAAAACAGAATGCTTTACCCCTTCATGAAGTCTTGGCTCATGTTTGGGGGATTGGAGAACTACATACACGCTGGGGATGGCTATATCACAATACTCACTAGCTCTTCTAAGAGCTGTTCCTGCTTCGCTCTCTGGACTAGGAGAGGCCTACCCACTGGAAGCTGGATCCTGGTCTTGGATTTAGGGTGGGTGGAGGACGATGAGACCCCAACCAAGTTACAGCGGTTCGTGGGGTTTACGGTGGTTATGGTGTTCCAGTGCAGTGCTTATGGCACTCGCAAGCACTTTGTACTTAAAGAATAGTTGATGAGGAAAACTTGATAACAACAACTAGAACAAAAAGGGGGATATGAAAGGTAAGAAAGAAGACAAAAAAAGAAAATGGGAAATATTATATTGAAAATGTTTAATGTTCTTGAAGTCTCTTCCATCCATTCTAAGGTGAGATCTTGAAGGCTTCCGATGCTCTTGCCTCCACTGCCGGGTGCCACGTGGGGCAACCCAGAAGTGATCGCTCCAAGGGGAGCGATCACTTGTGATCGCTCCAAGGGGAGCGATCACTTGGGTGCCTGGCAGTGAGTGTACATCCACGGTCACTAAGGGGTTAAAAGATCATATTTGTATGTATTTACATTACCCTTGTCTTCAGCAGAGAATATAAATAATGTTTCAGGGGTTGAGAGCATTATTTTAAAATTCTTATTTTAGAGAAATGTAGACATATACTAGAGATTCTCCTTTTACAACGTATATATGAAATTTGCTTTTCTATCATTTAAGATTAAGTTATATTTGTCATAACAGGTACCCATTAATGACAAAATGGGTAAAATGTATAAAAGTGTTCTGTTCCAAAACTTGTTTTAAAGTATTAAAAGTGGGGCAATTGATACCTCTTTTCAGAACAGAACCGTTTCATAAATTTCCCACATTGTGAACAATTGGACATGGCTGGTTCAAGTATTGTTTCAAGTTCCTGGACTAAAACAGGAATAGTGGTATTATGGTGAATGTATCTAATTTTATGGATAATACTCTCTTACATATCACATTTGGCAAAAAAACAATACATTACTTTTGCACTATACCACATATGGTGTGTACAAAGAAAGATGTTATGTCAAGAGGAGGCAAAACCAGAACACTGTATCTCGCAATTTAGAGTACTATAAATCCTTAAAGACTCAGCCCCAAAATAAAACAGAATTTTCACATACCGGCATAAAAATAAATAGGAAGGAAAATATATTTGCTACGGCTATTTGTTTTTCAGAAGTATATATATTTAAATTTACATATCTTTCTAATTTGTAGATATTTGACCATGGACTTGATGACGGTTTGTGCAGTGAGTCAGTGGAGTGGTTTCCCAAGCCAAACATTTCTAACACTCCAAGGAATAGTTTTTTACGAAGAATTGATAAGATCTTACAAGATTTCACTTGCGCATTTCGTTCATTAAATCAGTGGGACAAGCATGGGAATCACGGCAATATGATAAACGAAACTATCCAAATGGTAACTGCACTTCGCTCCAACATCAACGGCAACTTAAGAACAACAACTCAACAATGTACCAACATTCAAGAGTTGCCAGAGGGTATCTTTGAACGAAAGCTACAATGTTGTCGCATAATTAAACTGTACATGGACTTCATGGAAGATGTAGTGGATACATTATATGTAAACAAGAGGAGGAGAAAGTAAAAGTCTGATACTGTACAAACAGCTAAAAACACTAAGCACAATCTCAAGCAAGGCCATGCCTAAATGTATCTTCACAGCTTTGAAGAACTAAGCATAACCCTGCAAGAATTACTATTTTCAATGCAATTGCTTAATGTTTAAATTGCACTTTGCACTTAAAGAATAGTTGATGAGGAAAACTTGATAACAACAAGTAGAATAAAAGGAAGAAATGAAAGGTAAGAAAGAAGACAAAAGAAAATGGGAAATATTATATTGAAAATGTTTAATGTTCTTGAAGTCTCCTCCAGCCACTCCTAGATGTTCAAACAGCTACTAGATGCATACATGCAAAAACAGAATATTCAAGGATATAATCTTTCAATGTTGGGTAATATCTTGGTATAGAAATCTTACTGCACTGACTTTGTGATATAGTTTATTTGATGAACATGACAGTTTATCATGGTAACAGCACCCCTGTCAGGATGGAGACATCAGAAGTTTTTATGGTCCAATATTTTGGTAAACTGGAATATTGCTCAAATAAAAGTTGTCACAAATCATTTAAGGGGCAATGTACTGATGGGCTCTTCTGATGAAGATTTAAGATATGGGGTATCAAATATATATATATTTTTTGTTAAGGAGGCTGTAGGTGATACACAGGTGCTTTGCACCTCATTACACTACTCTCAAGAGCTACATCATTACACAACCCTAATAGCAATGAAAGACCATGGGTAAGCAATTTAGGCCCATTTCATTTTATTTATTTATTTATTTTAATAAATTATTTATTAAGCTCAATGCCTTGCTATTTCATGCATTGCAGAAAGTATTAAATAAAATATTTTGGAAGGGATGATACATGCGCTTTTTTACTTAGCTGATGAAAGTAAAAAGTGTCCCACAATATATGATATAGTTTTGTAGCTAAGATTTAGATGCAGCTTTGTACTTGAGTTTTATATATATGTATATAGTTTTTCACTACTTATCTGAAAGATCACTCTTTGTAAGTGCAAGGAGTTCTTCATTGCAGTGAAACTTGAAAGTGAAAGTGATATGCAATATCTTAGCAAAATCTGAAAAGTCAAGATGTACACAAGTTAGTTGTGAGGTTTGATAAGAACACTCACAAGCAAAGCATCAGTTGGCAATAACAACAGGCCATGACAGTCCCTTTTACAAAAACAAAACAAAACAAGACTTTTTTTTTATTCCATTAAAATTGAATAAAACCAATAAGCTTATCCACTAAACTCTGAATTTCAGAAATTAATTCAGAATTGCAAAAATAGCCAAGCTATGACAATGGATTAGTAGTGGATTTTTTAAAAGCTATTTTCATTTCAGTTTTAAGGTTTCTTATTAATACATGAAGATTTGACGTTTAGTGAATAACCCCGATAGTGTTTACTATGGATTAGCATTGGATGCAATTATTATACTTTCATAGCACCCATCACCTCAGGGAGCTGAATTTATTTTACAGTAGTTTCATAGTGGTGTTTATTGCCATTGCATCAGCACGAGGAAACCTTGTATCACCATCAGCTACCTCTGCTTAGCAGGAGAGTCAACAGCACTACCAGAAAGAGTTCGTAACTTACAAATAGCTTGAACTGTTTTGTTAAACTATTTATATAACGATCTGCAAATATCAGCCAATTATCAGAGTATTTGTTATATGGACAAAAAAAAAACACAAATGCAATATTACTTTCCTTTTAAAACATACTTTTTCTTTAATGCATGTGCCACAAATAACTCAATTTATTATAATAATATCAAAATGTATTTATTTTTATTCATTTAACTACAGTTGATGGTAATGGTGATGGTTTAAAGAGTCTTTGGCACAGAAAATGATGAAGTGAGTTTTAATATTATCAGTCCAACCTTGGACTTCCTTGATACACTGTGAGCACCGAACTAGCCCATATCCATCCTATCATAACTGACCAAAGGTGGGAAGATCATGCAGAAGTTCTTTCTGTATTACCTGAGCCACAGCAGAGAGGCCAAGTTGTAGGTGTTTGGAGTGATGACACTAGAAGACTCTATACACCATACCCACTACAGTATGCTGCCGTGATTATAGTACTTAGAATGTTCCTCTAACTTCTTTAAACAAGTTTCCAAAAGAATGTGGATTTCTATCTCTTACTGTAATATCCTGTTAATAATTTTTTGAAACTCTGCATTTCACTAGGTCTTTGTTTAGCATTGTGTAGTTCTAAATCTTTGTTAAGGAAGTGGTTTCTACGTAGTTTAAGAAAATAAGTTGTACAATTTCAAATGCTAAATCTTATGCAACAGTGAAGCCACTAAGCATAAAGACCTTCATTTCCTTACTAGTGAAGTCATATGCAGTCCATTACATTAATAGGAAGTCAACAATAATGATTCAGAAAGTCTTGCTCGTCTAGATATTTCATATATCTTAGAAGTTATTTTTGGTAAGTGTACAACTGCCCTTTCTGACCTTTTGTAAACATTGTGTTGACGCAAATAATCTAGCAGACTAGTTCCTATTCTCCCAGCATCTGCAGAGCAGGAGGAAAACTTAAATAAATGACTAGTATCCAGAAGTGTGTCCTTAAAAGTCTTAACGGATATGATAGGCACTAAAGCAACTTAATGTTTAATGATGCCTAGACTGGAAGAAAGAAGATTTCGTCTAAGGCAAAGGAAAGGTTTTTTTACTGTAAGAACAATAAGGATGTGGAATTCTGTGCCTGAAGAAGTGGTTTTATCAGAGTCCATACAGATGTTCAAACAGCTACTAAATGCATACTTGCAAAAACAGAATATTCAAGGATATAATCTTTCAATGTAGGGTAATAACTGCTTGATCCAAGGATAAATCTGACTGCCATTCTGGAGTTAAGAAGGAATTTTTTCCTAGCTTGTTGCAAAATTGGAAGTGCTTCAACTGTTTTTTTTTTTTGCCTTCTTTTGGATCAACAGCAAAAAACAAATGTGAGGAAGGCTGAACTTGATGGACACAAGTCTCTTTTCAGCTATGTAACTATGTAACTATGAAGCAGTTTTGGTGTATAGATCATGCCCTTGCAGCCTTACTGCTCAACTCTCTGCCATTTAGGAGATAAATCATTTTGTTTATGCAGCCCTTGTCTTAAACAGCCTTCCAAAATACTTCCTGTAAAGAGAGATCTAATGTTTAAACTTTCTTTATTGCACATTGGGATTAATTTAGAATGTCTTATCTTCTGCTCTGTTAATAGCCTTCTAGACCATGCAGGAGCATTCTGTGTGTAATTAAAGTTAAATTTACAGAGCAGGAGATAAGAACTTCTAAAGTAAGTGTGTCAGTCACAGCATGGGGAGATGTGGCTAGGGCTATATGGACAGAAACAATGTGATTTAACTCCTAAATGGCAGAGAATTAAGCAGGGAGACTGCAGGGACCTTATTTATACACTATACCCGTTTCACTAAGCTAAATTTGTTTTGGTGCCTATAGTGTCCCTTTAAGTTTAAATCTCCTTCACCACCTCATATTACTTCTAATAATCTTTTACATGACCTGGAAGCATGTTTTACCGTTTATTAGATACAATAATTATACAATGCATAGCCGATCTGCTGATTAGATGAGTGGGAGTAACTTAATAAATAGGTGTGAACATCTAAGGATAACTATTATAAAGATTTCAGTGACAAAGTAAGTTTTTAATAAGTATACTGGTTTCTGAACTAAACCAAGTGGTGGCTATTTTATAAAAATTCTTACGTATTCAATAAAACTGGGTACTGTAAAACATCAATGTGATTTAAAGGAAATGTTGGCACACAAAAATCTGAAATAATCTGACACTTTTGTATGAAGTCTGTTTGTTATAAATATTTTTAGCAGTGCTTTATTGAAGGAATACAACATTGTAGTACTCACTATCACTAGGAAATACAGCCTCCTATAGTTAAAGAGCCCATTTGCGGGGCCCTTGAAAAGCCCTGTCCACTTATCTTAATGATGTTGTGAATTATTTAGCATTCTTGTGTCTCTTTCCCTCTGACAATGAAATAAATGGGGAGGTGGGGGAATCAATATCTATAAATGGATTTTTTAAAAACCCAATAATGTGTTGTTACTGTAAAAGAATAATGTAATTTAAAAAGTGTGAACTATTTTAAAGCTAACAAACCCTGTGGAAAAAAAGTGTACTATCAAACTAACGAAAATCAGAGAAATTAGTAAATTTTTGAACACTTGAGTCCTGGGGAATCGGTTGTGAGACACCAACCGACTTTCAAACATGAAGGCCAGAATAGTGAAGTTTGGGAAAATCTACCTCTCGTGGATTTTTTTTTACAACTTCATTATTGTGGTCTGACTTCTGCAAGTAGGTTTTTGACTGACCATAACTCACCATTCAGCGAATAAATCCCTAGTTTATGTTTATTTATATCTCTCTAAAGAATGTTTAGAGGTTAATGTGCCATGTTAAATTATTTTTATGTATATTTTGTCTAACGACTAAGTTTAACTATAATTTCTGTTTTGTTTATTTATGCCGCTATACATAGATTGTAGCCATGCAGTCTATGAAGTTTAAATATTATTATTATTATTATTATTATTAAATTTCTGTAATATTGCTATTTATTAACATGTTAATTATTTAATGTGAAAGCCTGTTGCACTTGACATTTTGAACTGTGATTTCCACAAATAAATAGATAATATTGTACCATGAATTTTGTTTTTGACTAATGCACATTCTAGTGGGTTGTTGGGTTTTTATTATTGTCTTGTTTTTTTAAAATTTGTTTTTCCAATTCTTAGTATTACATATTCCGGGCAATTTTCCGCCTCTGTTCTATCTTATCTATCTGGTTTGCTAAAAAAACAAATGAAAAACACAATGATTCACTATCAAAAACATTTAAGCAGCTGTGATTCCCTGACAGTACTCATAGCATTGAAAACAACACTAAAGTCACCCAAGCCACGTCATCACAATGGAGTGGCCTGGGTACAGTGACCCTCACTTTAAGATTGCGATGTAAGACATAGACAGTTTTTTAAAGGTTAAATCCACCGCGGGTTCCATGCTTTCCTATGGGGAACAATGTTTGCATGCACAACACTCGCTGCACATGTGCATCAGGTCCCTCAATGCTCCTCTAAGAGGAGCATTGGTTTTAGCCAACGACGGAGGCCATGCCACCTTAATAACATGGTGGAAGGCGGATAGGTGAGCAGAACCGAGGTAGTCTTGGCGCTGGAAAAAGGTAAGAAACATTATTAATTATTTTTATCACATACACAGAGTGGGCTATATCTAACAAGAGACAATGAATAAAGTAGGCATTCCTAACGCTTTAGTGTTACTTTAACTATCCCTACTCTATGCTTCAAGAATAAATGTAAAGAAGAACTTTCCCAAATCTTGTGGTATACAATGGACTGGACAACTGGGAAAGTTGGGGCCTGGTGGACTGCTCTTACATTACAGTACCATTGCAACGCTTCTACAGATTGAGTTTCGCGAGTGTGAACTCCTGCCAGAGGAGCTGCAGGCTAGAGTTCCCTGACCACTGGACCACTAGGGCTTGCAAGCAATGCCCCCCCCACTCTGAGGAAAGGTAAGAAGGGAGGGGAGATGTCATTTTAAAACAAAATAATAATGAAAGGAAGCATAATGGCTTCCTCCACACACAATTTATGCCTTTTACCTCCCAGTACTTTTAACATTGCACCCCTCACACACCCTTCAATGACACACTGCAAAACCCACACACACTGCACTCCTTATGCACACTGGACCCCTTACACACACACACACACACACTGCACCCCTCATATACACATATTTCACTTTCTTAGACACACATTGCATCCCTCACACACACACACACACATTAATATCTCTTACGCACATTACACCCATCACACACACACATTGTACTCTGGCACACACTGTACCTGTCACACACATATTGCACTCACACACACATTGCACCCTTGACAAATACACAAATACATCACACCCCTCACACTCACACACTGCACCACTCACAACTTTACACTGTTTTACAGGCTGTACACTTACTACTTTACATTGTAGCAGAGTGTCATTTCTTCAATGTTGTCACATGAAGATATAATAAAATATTTTCAAAAATGTGAGGGGTGTACTCACTTTTGTGAGATACTGTATATAAAATGAGTATGTTAGACCGTTATAGACCAGATGTACTTCTGCAATACTGTCAGCAGAAGGGCGTGCCCAGATACCTGAGTCTCCCCAGTGCTACTTGAGATTTAACCCT